AAAATGATCAAAGAGGTCTGATGGGGACCCCTGATGGGAACCTACTACATTTTTTACAATTTTTTTTATTGCAAAAATCTCTCTCTCTCTCTCTCTCTCTCTCTCTATATATATATATATATGTGTGTGTGTGTGTGTGTGTGTGTGTGTGTGTGGAACTGTATCTCTAACAGCCTGTCATGTGACTGCTGTGGTTCACTTGAAAGACCAAAACCACAGTTTTACAGTTAAACTATTTTAGTCCCATTACGAAGTTTGCACCACACATCCACACACCCATCACTTTTCCATTGAAAACATCACCGTTTCATAAAAGACTCCCTCCTGTTTGTCTAGTCCTTTCACTTGTCATCATATTTGCCATCATCATCCTCACCGTTGTCCTCCTTGTTGTTCTGTCCAGAGGGCTTGCCTCTGAAAACTTTATGCCAGTCCCCTCTCTTTCCTATGAGGTCTACTATTTCTTTACCATACTCCTCTTTTGTCTTCCTGTAGTACCAGTACATTTCACTCAGTCTCATTTTAATTCAGGCCTTGACTGTGGAGTCTGAGTGCCTGTTTATGAGCAGATTCCTGGCCTTCCACAGGGCATACCTGAAGCAGGAGATGAACAGGTCAAAGTGGGCTGTCGGGGCCCTTTGCTATTTAGTAAAGTGCTGGTAGAGGACTGCTTTGCTGGTCAGGTTTCTGAAACCTGTCACCACCAGGAGGAGTTCATGTACTTTTTTCCACACCTCTCTAGTGTATGGGTAGATCCTTGTGGGAATCTACCACAGGATCAGTTAGTGGAGCCTATCTGAATAAGATATATGATAGTGCCCATTGTACCTTAGTCCCCCTCAGTGCCAACACTTTTTCAAGTCATGGGGAGCCAATACATTAAATACATTTTTACTTCCTCTTCATTCCCACAGCTGAACTGTACCTTTCTTTCTCATTTCCAATGATTCCTGGCATGAACGTGGATCCTTTGGGAGGGGGTGGGGCATATCTGGAGTATACAAACATCCTGAGCAGTGCTGAGCTGTGGGGTCACCATGGTTTGAAACATTATTGACTCTGCTGGGGCCCAGCCCAATAAACTATGTGGTAAATCATGAGCCTTTTAGCTTTGGTTTAATATCATGCATACTTTGTACTATATATAAGTAGGTAGAAAAGTGCTGAAAGTGTGTATATGGAGTACCTGTGCTAAAACCTGTGGCAGTTTCAAAAAGGCAAAATGTAACAATTCTGGGCGAACTAAGTATATGCATACCTGTATGTGACAGGCCCTTACCTGCCACCTGGGGGGTGGACTGCCCCTGAGCCTACTCACCCATCTTGACTTTGGACATTATCCATACCTTTGTGATGTTGCTCAGTTGTTCCTACCAGCTAAGGGTGTGTCTTCCTATACCCCATCCCTTTCCACTTGGATGTTATCATAAATCTCATATTGTACCTTGATGTTGTCACAGATGGTTTGTTGTGCAGATGTGATTGTCAGAGAATAACCTGGTATGGCCAAGGTCCCCGCCTGCTAGACGTCCTGCTCACTTACCCTGCTGGAAAGGAAAACCTTGGAATGATTCTGTCCCCTACTTCATATGGTTTCCCTCTCACCTGCCACGTTTTACTGGAAAATGCTTAATCTGTCAGGTGTTGAATGTAGTGTAGGGCATTTCCTCCAAGTCTTTCCTACAAGTTTCATCCAAGTCTTTCTAAGTCTTCCATGTGAGGCTCCTCCTCTTCTTACACCTCACCCTTACCACTGATTCAGATGGTACCTGGCATGGTCTCTCTCTTAC